GGCCATGAACAGGGAGCTGGATGGGAAGTGGAGCAGCCGGGACTTGAACCTGCGCTCTGCTGAACCTGCGGCAGCACAACGCCGCCCTCCCCCACTCTTTGGTGATGAGCTCTCTCCTCCACTAAACTGGCAGCTTCTCTGGGCTGGGCCCTCTCGCTGCCGGGCCTTCCCGGCAGAGGCACAGTCGGCCTTTGTGGAAGGAGTGCCTGGCAGCCGTGGCCCTCCCGGGATAGCTGTTTCCCCGGGTCTGTGTGCTTGGATGGCACCCGCTGACTCCGTGTCCCATCGCACCCAGACAATCACTGGGAGCACCCTCTCTCCCCAGCGGAGCACCCAGGTTGGAGGGACACCCTCAGCAAGAAGACCAAAGGTCTCATTACTGTTCTCGGTTATTTCCTGTTTTACCCCTCTGTCTGTGTCTTCAGCTTTGCTACAGATGTGCACGGGAAGTATTCCGGCCCGGCCTGGGCCTGGGTTCTAAGGGGAGTGGGCAGAGGACGGGCGGCACCAGAGAGAGAGCCTTCTGGGGGGTGTGTCTGTGGCACAGAACGCCCGCACCCCGTATCTGAGCACTGGTTTGAATCCTGGCTGCTCTGCTTCTGATCCAGCCTCCTGCTAATGTGCCTGGGAGGCAGCAGATGATGGCTCAAGTACTTGGGCCCCTGCCATCCACATAGGACACCTGGATAGAGTACCAGACTTGGCTTTGGCCCAGCCCAGCTCTGGCTGCTGCATTTGGGGGGAATGGAAGATTCTCTCTTTCTCTCTCTCTCTCTCTCTCTCTCTCTGTTGCTCTGCCTTTCAAATAAATAAATAAATCTTAAAAAAAAATAAAGTAAAATAAAGAGATCCTTCTGGGAGAAAGCTCAACGCGAGGTGGGAGGCACGTACCGCTTCCCACAAGGCAAGCTCCCCCCTGGAGAGCCCGGGTTCCAGGGCCCATGAAACTGACAAAGTCAAAAGCAAAAGGTACTAAAAGAAATCAGCAGGCCGGGTGTAGACAGAGGAATGGCCGCACAGTCCAGCTGTCTGTGCCAGGACGCCTCTGTGGGGGCCTCCATGGGCGGGCCTGGGCTAGGCTACAGGTGTGGCAACCTCAGAGTCAGTTTGTGCCATTGTGGTCACCAGGGCCCCCCACTCCCGCCAGCCCAGGCCTCCCCACCGTGCACACTCCCAGGGGCCCGGCCTGGAATGAGAGCTGCCTCTGTTTCCCCACAGCCCCTACTTGGGATTTCAGGGGGGCAAGGGAAGGGGGAGGGGAGGGAGGGAGAATGGGTAACCATGGCAACCAGTTCATAAATGGAGACTCCTCAAGAAAGCTGGAAAGAGACCCTCGGAGCTCGGTGCCCACGTGTGTCACTGTTCACCTTATTCTGCAAGCGTTTATTAAGCCTGCCCCTCCCGCCACACACTGGGCTAGGCCCTGGGGGCACTGCTGGCCCCAGGGGAGGGCTGGTCAGGGGTGAGAGGTGGCCCCAGCCTCAGGCCCACCTGCAGAGGAGTGGTAGGTTTAAGGAGGGGAGGCACCGTGGGCCGGGGAGAAGCAGCTCCTATGTTGTGGCGTTTGTACAATCTGAGTTCCTTCACAGGAGAGAGTACCCAGCGTCTCAAAATAAGGCGGAGGCAGTGGGTGGTGCAGTGAGCTAAGCTGCCCGTGCAACACCACCATCCCATACCTGAAGGCCAGTTGGAGTCCCGGCTGCTCCACTCCCCACCTGCTCCCTGCTAATGCACCTGGGAACGCAGCCGAAGACGGCCCAAGCACCCACGTGGCAGATCCAGGTGGAGTAGCAGGCTCCTGGCTTCAGCCTGGCCCAGCTCTGGCTGTTGTGGCCATCTGGGGAGTGAACCAGCCAGTGGAAGATCCCCCTGTCTTTCTGTCATTCAGCCTTCCAAACAAATAAGTAAATCTTTTCTTTAAAAAGACAGTGTGAAAGGTTATAGCATTGTTGTCTCACAGGACATGAACAGCTGTGTACCCAACGCTGCCATCGTAGTCCACGATCTTTTTTCCTGCTAACTGCACACACCCCCTGTCTTGTGCTGCCGTGTAAGACCCTGCAGACCGGGTAATTCACCACGGCCGGAAGGCTGCTTGTTTCTCCCAGTTCTGGGCCTTGCACCACAACAGGGCGGAGGGTGAGGGGCACCCTGCACAAGACGCACAGTGAATCAGGCAAAGGCATCTTGTCGGGAGCCTGTTCTGTGCTCGCTAACACACCCCCACCATGATGGCCTTGACCCTGAGAACGGAGCTCCTAGCACTAGCACGTTCCCACCTGAGCCCGATCACGGCCCTACCTTAGCCCATTTCATAAAGCTTCGAAGGACGCTGGCTATTTCTGTGTGAGTCCTGTTTTTGACTGTGTGAAATGATACTTTGATGGGGGCCACCTGAGGCCATGGTGGAAGGGCTTTGTCCGTGACATTAGAAGGACGAGTGTGTGTGGACTTCCAGAGGGCACTCACTCGCTACTGTGCATTTGTTTCCAAGCCACGCAACCTAGCATGGCCATTCCTACTGTCCACTCCAGGGAATGAGGGCATGCATCCCAGAGCCACCCATACAGGAATGCTCTTAGCAGCTCTGTTCACGTGAGCCCCAAGTTGGAATCAACCCCAGAGTCTCCCAGCAGTTGGATGGGTGAGCATATTATGATATACTGTTCAATGGAACACTACTCCATGATAGAAATAAACTACCGGTGCTGGAAACACCACGGCTAGGGGCAGGCCGTTGGCACAGTCATCAAGACACTGCTTGGGTTGGCCTTGTGGTCGAGTCCCGGCTGCTCCACTTCCAACCCGGCTCCCTGCTAACGCACCTGTGAAGCAGCAGATGGCAGCTCAAGTACTGGAGAGCCTGCCAGCCACATGGGACACCTGGGTGGAGTCCCCAGCTCTTGGCTTTGGCCTGGAGCAGCCCCTGAAGTTGTGGCCATTTGAGGAGGGAACCAGCAGAAGGAAGACCCTTCTCTGTCACTTTAACTTTCAAATAAATGAAGAAATCATCTTTTTTTTAAATGTTGCTTGCAGTGCCCTCACCCCAGATCACTGTGCCTGGATTCACATTCCAGCTCTGCTCCTGATCCCAGCTTCCTGTTAATGACACCCTGGGAGGCTCAAGTAGTTGAGGCCCTGCCAGACACGTGAAGAACCAGGGGGAGTTCAGGTGTCCTGGCTTCGGCCTGGCTCAGCCTTGGCTGTGTGGGCATTTGGGGAGTGAACCAGTGGGTGGGAAACCTCTCTTTCTCTTCTTTTCCTCTCTGCCTTTCAAACAAACAAACAAATGTTTTAAAAACCATTATGGGGGGATCTCAGACACATTACTGAAAACAACCAGGGGCTGGCGCTGTGGCTCACTAGGCTAATCCTCCACCTGTGGCGCCAGCACCCCGGGTTCTAGTCCCGGTTGCTCCTCTTCCAAGCCAGCTCTCTGCTGTCGCCCGGGAGGGCAGTGGAGGATGGCCCAAGTCCTTGGGCCCTGCACTGGCATGGGAGACCAGGAGGAAGCACCTGGATCCTGGCTTCGGATCAGCGCAGCGCCAGCCGTAGAGGCCATTTGAGGGGTGAACCAACGGAAGGAAGACCGTTCTCTCTGTCTCTATCTCTGTCTCTCTGTCTCTCTCTATCTCTCACTAATTCTGCCTGTCAAAAAAAAAAAAAAAAAAAGAAAGAAAGAAAACAACCAGGCGTTCCATTTAGCGTCTGGGTGTGCCTGGGACTGTCTGTCAGTACAAGGTCAACTTCCATGGGCTCTGGGGGTGAGGGTGACAGAGACGCTCCCGACTTGGTGGCGGTCACCAGGGCAGGCATGGGCCCAACCTCATCAGAACGCGTGAATTCTACAGCCTGGAAATAAGGCTGCCTGGGAGGGGGGGCGCCCTCAGGTGGGAGGGTTCCAGAAACCACAGAAGGGAGCGTTCTCTTTCCTCCTTTCCGCTGAGCTGGGTGAGTGGAATCCACAGGTGTGTGCAGGTGACAGGCTTTGGCTGGGAGGATGCACTCTGCCAGGTGCCAATCACCGGGCCTTCCGCCCCTGCTCCCCCTTCTCCCTGCACTCTGCGGGTGACCGCTCAAGCCATGGGGGAGCAGCCTCTTCCCCACCTGCTGTCGCAGGTTGTTGTCAGGATAAAATCAGAAAATGGTCTATAAACAGTAACTGCAGGGACCGTGAATGGCTCAGGCGAGAGGCATCTTGCAGCTCTTTTCTTTTTATGTTTCTTTATTTGGAAGCAGAGGACAGAGAGCATCCCTCCCCTCCCTCGCCCTGAGCTGCCCTCAGGAGGGGGCTCCTGGCTCCTCCCAGGACCCTGGTGTTCTGTTTCTCTTCAAGGGGGAGTGCTAAGGCCCTCTCCGCCATTCTTGAGCCTTGAGCCTCGTCACCCAGAGCCTGGGTCCCTGCTTCCTCCCATCAGTAGCTCTGATCCATTCAACTCCCACACTCTCCCGCCCCCACTTCAGTGCCTGCAGCAGGGCGCAGCCTTGGCCCTTAGGTCTACCCTGGGGCAGCAGAAGCTGGACAAAAGGCCCCAAGCCAGCCATCACCATGGTGACGAGCTGCCGGGGAATACAGATCTGTCTCTGCCTGTCTCCACTGCTCTCTCCCCTCTGTCCCTCTGTCCCGTCTCCTTACTCTGTGGTCCACCCCGCACAATTTGGCTTCCTCTGTCCCCATTGGCCCCCTCGGGCTCCATTCCACCTGTTCTTGTCTCCTTTTGGAAAGGGATAACATGAAAATGGCTGTCAAAATTTGGGGGTGGGTGGGAGTGCGTCACAGCAGCTGAGATGCCCACTCGGGATGGCCGAATCCCCCTATCCAGTACCTGCTTCTGAGGATTCCAGTTTCCTGCTGGTGTGCACACTGGGAAGCAGCAGTGACGGCTCAAATTCCTGGGTCCCTGCCACCCACCTGGGAGACCTGGATGCAGTTCCGGGATTCTGTCTTCAGTCTGGCCCAGCCCCAGTTGTTGTGGGCGTTTTGGGAGGGAACCAGTGGAGGGGAGTTCTGTCTCTGTCTCTGTCCATCTGTCTGCCTTGCAAATAAAATGAAAAGCAAAAATTGGGGAGGGGGTGTGGGTAGTAGTTTTACACATGCACATTATCCCCACACTCTCCTAGCTTCTCAGCCCCATCAGTCTCTGACTTCTCTCCCTCTCCTCCCCAGGTCTCTTTCTGGCTGTCACCTCCCACTTCAGAGGACACAGGAGTGATAGGAGCCCCCCCCCCCGCCGCCGCCCCCATGTGGCCTTGGTAGGAATGAGACGCCTGAGCAGCCCGGGAGGGCGCCGCCGAGTGGCACAGCAGACTTGGCTGAGCAGGCCAGGGAAACGACTTCAAAATCCATCCCATCTGCCCACCCATCCGCTCTTTCTCCATACGGTGACATGTGATTGCTGCCGATCGAATTCCAGGTCCATAGAAGGCAGTGACAGCCTATGTCCCCGACCCATGTCTCCTTTCCCTCCGCTTCGTCTGCCTGGGCCACCAGTCTGAGACCAAGAGGCCACTCCTCGGTTGTGATACCCCTCAGCCTTGGCCTCAGCTGCTGAGCCCAGGTCCCAGCTCCCTCCGGAGCTGTCGCCCACCCCCAAAACACAGAGTCCTGGGCCAGGGCAGCTGCCACCCGCCGCCAGCCTGAGCAGGACTGGCCTGGGAACATCTCCAGCCCCCAGCAGGGCCCGGTGTCACTTTGGAGCCTTTCTCTGGTGGGAGGAGGCCCAGGGTGGAGCTGCCAAAGTCAACACAGCCGGAACCTGTTTGGCACCTGCAGGCCTGGTTTCTAGTCCACAAGCCCAGGGCCTGACCTCCGCTGGGGTCAGCTGGAGTTCCTGTCTCCCCAGCCTGGACGCCAGAGCAGTCCCACTTACCCGCAAACACCAACTACCTGCCCTCCCACAAGGTCCAGTGCCATTGCCAGGGCTCCGCCACTCCCTGGTGCCACCAGCCTGGCTTTAGTGTTCCAGCACACCTGCTCAGGTAAAGGACTTGATTGTTCATGCTGGGAACTCCCCCCAAATGCCCAGCGTAAGGCATCAGCAGAGGATTTGCTCCCTAAGAGTTGGAATTCCTTGCTTCCAAAACCCCTGCCTTCAAACACTAGGGATCCATTGCCTGCTCATACCCAAAGCCCCTTGCACTGAAAGGCCCGTTTTGGGCAAAAGTCCCCATGCTCATTGCATGGGGTAAACAATGAACTCTGGGATACCAGGGGGCTACACTGGCTGTGTGACCCTTCCTCCCAAAACGAGCCACTCAAGTCTCTGCAGGTGCAGCTCCCCAGGTCAGATGCCACGCCTGGCCCTCAACCCCCTGGGACAGATGTGACTCCAGAGTTCCCCAGGGTCAGGGCCAGCTCCCTGGCCTACAGCTGTGTCTAACAGCCCGGCCAGTCTCTCGGCCAACCCCAGGCCGCCTGGAATGTGGATAGAAGCGACGGTGGGAGGGGAGGGGCTGGATTTAACTAACAAATGGTGAGGGGTGTGGCTGGAGCTGGGCCGCAGCCCCACCAATCCGGACTTCTCCCTCTGATCTACAAGGGCGGCAAAGTTCTCAGACTCTCCAACAGCCTGATTTGTTTTGCAAAATCGAAGAGAATTTCATGCTGGTCTCCCAGCAAGCTGTGTGAGCAGGTGGAGCCGGCGGGAGGCAGCCGCGGCCTGAACGGAAGCTGCCGCATTCAGAAATGCTACCTCCTCCCCAGCCGCCCCCTGCTGCGTTCCCACCTCCACAGGTTCTCCACGGCCCCCTAACTCCCAGTCTGGGCCCCAAACCCCTCTCCCTGCCCTGCTACCTGTTTGCTCAGGTGAGGAAACCTGGCAATGAGGAGCCAGCCCTTCGCCCCACCCCCAGCAGAGGGGCAGCTGGGTACCCTTCACAGGCACAAACGTGTGTCTGAGCTGCAGGCTGGAGCAGTTCCGACCGACCGGAGCCCCTTCCTCCCTGACCCGAGCCTGGGCGGGCCCCTTGGGCGGGCAGCGGGGACGTCACCGGCGCCCTTTGCCCTCCGTGGGCAGGCTTGGTGGCAGCCATGCAGCTGCCTCACCCAGCACTGCCCTGCCCCAACCCCAGGCGCTCCTCTCCCCCAGAGAGGCTCCGGGGCTCGGGTCCCAGGGCAGCACAAAGAGTCCTTTGTCTGGGCTGGAAACAATCGTTCTCCCCTTTATGTGGCTCATAATCAGGCCTGGGAGGCGGGATCAAAGAGCACTGCACTGCTTCGCGGGTGCGGGGTGCGGGGTGCCGGGGCTTGTGGCGCCTTGGATCCAGCTGCTGACAACCTGTCAGCGGCCCCTAATCCTCGTCGGTCCCGAGCCCACTGAGAACCTTCCCTTCCCTGGGCTGGGCCTGTGTGCACCTTGCAGTGGGAAGGCAGCCGGGGGAGGCTGGCGGAGGACAGGGTGGGTCTCTCCCCCTCCTGGCACCCACGGCTCAGGTTCCAGCCCCTGCCAGCTCCGCGTTGGGTGTGAACGTGCCCAGAGGCACTGCCTGGCGAGAAAGGGTGGTGCCTGGTTTGGCCCAGGGCCACCCCCCATCTTCTAGAGACACCCCCTGAGACCTGCAGGGGCCTCTCTCCCTGTTGGCCTTGGCACAGGTGGGTCTCCACCCAGGCACATGGGTCCAGATCCCCTGTTTGGCTCACATCTCCCTGCCACTCTGCCTATTGCCACCCCCAGCCCCTTCCCAAGTGCCCATTCCTCTCTCCTCCCCCCACCTTGGGGCTCTCCCCCCACCCCCTCTCCCACCTGGCAGTGCCTGGCCGGGGTCGCATTCATGTGGCCATTTTCTTGCCTGCCAGCCTGGAGGTTCCAGACCACAAACACCTTCTTTGCCGCCAGGAGTGCAGCCCCCGCACCTGTTACTAGAGCCCAGCAGAGAGGGATGCCTCCTAAGTCACTCTCACAGAGACCCAAACCTGCCCTTCCTATGCCGGCTTTGTGGCACAGCGGGGTAAAGCCGCTGTCTGCGACGCCAGCATCTTATGTTGGATCACCGGTTCAAGTCCTGGCTGTTCCACTTCTGACCCAGCTCCCTACTAAGGCACCTGGGAAAGCAGCAGCAAACAACCCAAGTGCTTGGGCCCCTGCCACCCACGTAGGAGACCCCATGGAGTTCCTGGTTCCTGGCTTCGGCCTGGTCCAGCCATTTGGAGAGCGAAGCTGCAGATGGAAGATCTCTCTCTCTCTCTCTCTTTCACTCTGCTTTTCAAAGGAATAAAATATTTTCTTTAAAAAAAAAGTGCGCTTTCTCCAATGTGGGAGCCTCCCCAGTGCGTGCTTCAATCAGAGCACAGATCACCTTGTCAGAGCTGGAGGCGGCCTTGGGGACACCACAGAGCAGGTGCGCCTGCCCCTCCTACTCACACACAGAGCATCCCTGGCCTCGTCCAGTCTGCCTCGCCTTCCAGATGGGGAGGCTGAGACTCTGCGCAGGGAAATAACTCAGCAAGGTTAGTGGCGGTGCTGGGGCTGAAGTCAGCTCCCCCCGAGCTGGCGAAGCCCTGCCCGTCCCTCCCTGTGCCAGGGCAGGGTTAATTCTGACATCTAGGGGACCCCGTGCAAGCAGAGGTGGAGGGATAAGAGTTGACTGACACGGGGGTTCAACACCATGCAGAAAACATGCCTGCAGCAGATACCCCCGAGGCCTCTGTGCCATCCAGAGACTGGCTGTGGGCGCAGAAAATCCAGCACAGCAGGGCCTTGTCCACTCTGCATACCTGCTAGGCCCCAACAGCCAGCAAGGTGGCAGGCTCTCAGGGGCCCCTGGGTCACAGGCCAAGTGTCACCCCTCAGAGGGGGGCTGCACTGACCGCCTCTTCACCAGTGTGGGTTTTCTGGTTTGATGCCTGGACCCCCTCATTAGCAGGTGAGCTTCCCCCACCACCACCACCAAGGCAGAGCTGCCCTGGGACACAGTAGGTGCTCAATGAAGACAAAGCCCTGGTTATAGGTGTGAGAAGCATGGAGAGGCTGGATGGCCGGCCCAAGGTCTAAGGGACAGCACGTGGTGGGGCTGGAGCCCAGGCCTCATGCCTGTCACATCTGCCCTTGTATCGGGGTCTCCACACAGCAGCCACTGTGACAGCTTCGCCGTGAGAATCAGGGTCCTGCTCAATCCCCTTCCCTTGGCTTCCTCCTCTGTAGCCCATCATCACCAGCCTCGCACCCGGGCCTGCTGCCGTCCTGGCCCCCTGCACTCCTGCCCCCGGGTCTTTGGACCTGCTTTCTGCTCTCCAGGAAACTCCCACCTTTGGCCCTTCTCGTCCCCCTGAGTGTCCTTGGAAAGGCCGCCTTGAGCCCTGGAAAGCCGCCCGGTAGCGTCCCCCTCGGTGGCCCTCCAGTGCATCATGTCCCCAGCCCCTCAGTCCTGTGAGGGCAGAGACAGTGCCCAGCGCCTCCCCGACTCTGTCTCAGTGCCAGACTGTCCTGCTCAAAAGCGGGCTCCCGTGGAAGTCCTGCTGAGTGAACGCCCTCGGGAAGAGGCAAAGCAATGGGGCTGGCGAGGCCGGGCAGCTGCTGTGGTCAGAAGGGCCGCCCAGCTCACCAGTGGGGGACCCTGGCAGGGCTGGGGACTCCCGCATGGTGGGGAGGCAATGGCATGGTTCTGGTGGTTCAAACTGGCAACAGGTGAACAGGCAAGACTGGTGAGCTTAACCCAGTGCATCTCCCAGCTCTTATCAACTTTCTCTGAAGCTCTTATCACTCTGGACTTCAAACAGCTGCCTCTTATCTCAGGCCCAGCCCAGGCAGTTATCAGGTTCTAGAATAACAGCTCTCAGGGCTGCGAGAGCCCAGTGCCAGATCTGCAGCCAAGCCTAGAGACGGCCTTGTGCGTCTTCCCTCATGGTCTCCCTCGTCCAGGCCTCCCCACGCCCAGCCCTCAGGGTTCCCATCCCAGGCCCGGAGAGGGCTAGGAGACAGCCTGGCTTCCACGAAGCCACCTCGGGTTGGGTGACCGGCAGCCCAGGAGTCGGCTGCTCTCACCAGCCTATGGGAGAGACAGGAGCTGTGCCACCTCTTACCTCCTGAGCTGTGGGCTCAGGTCTTAAATGGCCCCCAGGGACCCCCAGACATGCCCCTGATGTTGGGACTCCTCCAACAGCGCCCAGCCTGCAGCACCTGTCCATGCAGGCAGACAGGTTCACTGGCTGCCCTTGGTCTCCCCTGCTCTGGGAAGCCATCTGTCACCTGCCCAGGACCGAGTCACCTTTAGGACATTGACGCCAGGTGGGCCCTCGGCGAGACGGCCCCGGCCCTCAGCCCCGGCAGGACACACACTCCCCGAGCACAGGCAAAGTCCAAGAGGCCACGGTGCTTCACACCGAGCCCTGCACTGGCCCTGGCCCTGCGGGTTCAAGAGAGCCAGGCCCCCACCGACACCGCGGCCGGCGTGGGAGGCGGGGCAGGAGAGCAGGCATTTCTCATCCTGGAAGATTGTGCCAGCTGCCCCCTCCAGCAGCTGTAGAACCGTGTATCAGACTGAAGCATCGGGAAGCTTCGCAATGCACCTGGAAGTGCTACCCGGAACCCCTCACTCCCTCGCTCTGCTCCACAGGAAGCAGGGGGAAGCCAGCGAGGGGAAGGGGCCGTCCCGGAGGCCGAGGGCACAGCAGGTCAGCAGCGGCACTGCTGCCGTCCGGAAGGAAGACACAAGGCAGCACCATGGTGCGGTGGGTCAAGCTGCCACTGGTGACTCTGGCATCCCATATCGGAGCGCCTAGAGTCCCTGCTGCTCCACTTCCGACACAGCTCCCTGCTGTGGCCTGGGAAAGCAGCAGAAGATGGCCCAAATGCTTGGGCTCCTGCACACACATGGGAGACCGAGACGGAGTTCCTCGCTCCTGACTTAGGCCTGGCCCAGCCGTAGCTGTTGAGGTCATTTGGGGAGTGAACCAACAGATGGAAGATCTCTCTCTCTCTCTCTCATTTTCTCTCTCTCTCTTACTCTGCCTTTCAAATAAATGAAATAAATCTTCAAAATAAAAGTGAGAAAGGCCAGAACAGCAAAAGCAGGGAGAGGGAAATGGGCAGGTTTAGGTCATCTGCGGCCAGGTGAGCTGGGTTCAGAAGCTTGGACTTGAACTCAGGGACAAAGGGAAGCTGTCCATGTGCTTTTTCCTCCCCATCTGCTTGAAAGATAGAGTGATAGACAGACAGAAAACGAGATCTTCCATTCGCTGGTTCACTCCCCAAATGCCCACAAAAGCCAGGTCTGAGATAGGCTGAAGCCAGGAGTTCAGAACTCCAATGGGTCTCCCACATATGGGCCAGGAGCCCAAGCATTTGAGCCACCCTCTGCCACCTCCCAGGGTGCATTAGCAGGAAGCTGAATTGGAAGTGGAGGAGCCAGGACTTGAACTGGTGCTCTGATGCAAATACGGGCATCCCGAGTGGCGGCTCCTGCACTGTGCCACAATGCTCAGGCCCCAGAGGCTTTATGTAGGGGGTAGACAGCACCCGACTGGTGGATTTGGAGGCCCCTCTGGCTGTGGTGGGTGAGGAGGGTCAAGGATCTACGGAAAGAGCTGTTAGCTATTGGGCACAGGAAGGGACAGTCCCTGGGAGTCCCCAGCTGTGTCTTGTCCTCCCAGCATAAAGTCACTGAAAGCCGCGCTCCCAGACCTGGCTTTGGCAGAGGGAATCTTCCTACTCGAGAAGGCTGGGCCTCCCCCACCTGTAGGACACATACAGACCCCTTCCCAGCCCCGCCAAGCCTTCCCTGCTGGGGCCCAGCCTCGTGTCCCTGCCTCCCTATTTGCACCCCAGCGTCCAGCCTGACCCTCCTCCCCGCGGTGGCCACCGTGACCCAGGCCGCCTCTGCGTGCAGGGTGCCTGCTCCCTCCTGCGCCTTGCTCAGCACGTGGGACCCTCCCTCTGGCCTCCCCTCTAACGCTGCACTTGGGCTGCTCCTCACGGCTCCTGTCTACTCGGCACGTCCACCCAGATGGTCAGCCCCTGGAGGCGGGGGCATTTTCTTCTTTGTGTCCTCCCGGCCTGGCTCATCGTGAGCGTGCTTGGCCACTGTGTCTGCCACAGACCACACTGAGCACAGAGGGAGAGTCCTGGAAAGAAGGTCACGTTGGCGCTGACACTTGCGTGTGTTCAGATCTTGTTCCTACTTACATGGCGTTTAGATTGCACAGGTATCATGAGTAACCTGGAGGCGATCTACAGTCTAGAGGAGGGGTGGGTGTTTGGCCTAATGGTTAAGATGCTTGGGGGCCAGCGCTGGGACGTAGCGGGTAAAGCTGCCGCCTGCAGTGCCAGCATCCCATAGGGACGCCGGTTCAAGTCCCTGCTGCTCCAATTTCAATCCAGCTCTCTGCTATGGCCTGTGAAAGCAGTGGAAGATGGCCCAAGTCCTTGGGCCCCTGCACCCATGTGGGAGACCTGGAAGAAGCTCCTGGCTCCTGGCTTCAGATCAGCAGAGCTTCCAGCCATTGCAGCCAAGTGGGGAGTGAACCAGCGGATGGAAGTCCTCTCTCTCTGCCTCTTCTTCTCTCTCTGTGTAATTCTGACTTTCAAATAAATAAATAAATCTTAAAAAAAAAATAAAAAAAGATGCTGGCATCCCACGCTGGACTCCTCTGTTCAACTCCTGGCTCTGGCTCCTGACTCCAGTTCTTGCCTCTGTAGACCCCGGGAGGCATCAGCTCAAGTAGTTGGGTTCCTGCCCATGTGGGAGACCTGGACTCAGTATCCAGCTCCCGGCTTTGGTCTGGTCCAGCTCTGGCCATTGTAGGCATTGTAGGGGTGAACCAGCAGATGGGATTGCTGTCTCTGTCTCTGTGTCTGTCTCGGTCAACTTTTCTTTAGGAGTTACTTAAAAATTGAATAAAATCCATGGGGGAGTTGTAGAGGTTCTATGTAAACACCACACTATGTTGTAAGGGACTTGAGCATCCACGGATGGAAGTGTCCGAGGGGGAAGGGAAGGGGAGGGAAGAAGGAGAGGAGAGGAGAGGAGAGGAGAGGAGAGGAGAGGAGAGGAGAGGGGAGGGGAGGGGAGGGGAGGGGAGGGGAGGGGAGGGGAGGAGGACAGGAGGGAAGGAGAGGACAGGAGAGAGGAGAGGGGAGGAGAGGGGAGGAAGACAGGAGAGGGGAGGAGAAGAAAGGAGGAGGGAGGGGAGGGGAGGGGAAGAAAGGAGGAGGGAGGGGAGGGGAGGAGAGGACAGG